ATGAATAATAATAATATTAATAAAATTAATATTATTAATGATATTAATGATGTTAATAATAATAATTAATAATAATTAATAATAATAATAATAATAATAATAATAATAATAAAGAAGAAAAAGAAAAACGAAAAAGGGAAATGAGAAAGAAGAGAAAAAAATTAATGGTAATAGTAGCAATAATAAAAATAACAGTAGTGACGATAACAATAGTGACAATAAAGAATTTTATATACTTAAATTTTTTAACGAAAAGCACCTCTTTTACTTCATTGTCGACTCTTTTCCGTTCTCAAAAGATTTCATCAAAGTCAGCATAAAACCAGCAACAGCAGTGTGTTTTAAGACTACAGACAAACATTGAAAAGATTGTAAAGTAGCGTAGCTTTGAACAAATAACCAATTTATAAATTCAATTAGTCAAAAAATTTAATCACTGATTAGTTTTTAAAAGAAGCATCAATCGTTTGTTAATACTGTTATGTATTTGAAAAGCAGTCAAGTTAACATGCCAGAAAATGCCCAAATAGAAGCTGGTGACAAACAGCATTAAGTTAACAGATACCAGTATAAAAAGCAATAAATCCTTCAAACTTTTTTTTGAAAATTGTATAACCTTTTAAAAAGTTAAAAAAAGAGCGTTCTGTATAAAATCCGCTTAAAACATCCGTTTCAACCAATTATCATAGCATAAGTTTTTTCAACTGCTGCACTGCTGTAAAAAGACTTGATAAAACTGAGTCGAACAACCGAATTAGAACTGTTGAAAATACTATTAAAAAAATTTAAGTAATAGTGAATAAAAAGACTTTCAAAAAATTCCTGCCAAATGCTCAAAAAAACAACTTAGAAGTACTCAAGGTCGAAATTCTCTTTAAAATGCTTAAAAATACTTGAAATAAACAATATTTTAGAGAATCTTGATAGTATTCATCAAACGGTACTTACACTGAACAAAACATCTAATGGCTTACAGAACTGACAATAAGGATTGATCTATCTTTGTGCAGTAACTGTGTTAAAAAAATTAAAAATAATTCTCCTTTCTTAGCTAACCCCACTGCTGTTCTAAAAACAACAAAAAAAATTTTTTTTAAAGAAAAGTTTTAGAGTTTAAAGAAAAGGATGTGGAAAAGGAGAAATGATGTCATATGCTATGAAGATGTCATCGTTGGTTGTAAGGTATGTAGTATGGCAAATGCTGAAGTTGGAAAAGTCCCAATATGAGACCAATTTTAAAGCAGCAATATCACCAGCAAGGCACTCAACTTCATCCTCTGAAAACAGTGTTTGTTCCAACAATGCTTTAACCTTACTTTTTCGCTTATCGCATTGCAAATCGGGAAGCTTTTTGAGCGCAGAGCGAATGATTGCTGCCAAAAACACAATCAGACTTAAGCTCAGCATAATTATGAATAACGCCTTTTTTATAAACCCATTGAATTTTGCTAGCCAAAAGTGTCTCAAATTTCAACAGAGTTTTTTCTTATCAATTGTTTGTTATCATTTTTATAATACTACACCTGAGGCAACCTTCTACCAGTCAGACTTTATTTGTTCGCAGTTATTTTCTCCAAGAATGACTCCTTAAAACTACTTAAATTTGAACGACAAAATAATTAAGGTTTAATACAGTCACTGATTTCAGCGCTTAGTCCCTGTGAATCTTGCAAGTAATTCTTGTGGGTGACAAACTTTTAGAGTAATTTTAGTGCCAAACTTGCAGCAGTTCAGGCCACATTCCTTTAGTTCTGCTAGCCTACTACCCCTATAGACCTCTCTCTGTTTGCTCTCAACCCTATTGAGTTAGAAATAAACGAGGGTATCTATGTAATAGCTTGTTATTGCTAAAGCTTGCACCTTCGAATACAGAATAGTCTTATAAACTGCGCTAGCAGCTCTTGTTAAAGCATTTTCAGGGAAAAACTGCGACCTTTAGAGAAAAATACATGTTGTTCACGGAGCTCTGTCACCCTTTCAGTGCCATCAACGCTTCCATTGCTCTTAGAAAGACGATCCTGTGAATTTGAAAATCACTGGCTTAGACAAACGTTGAAGGAATCTGACACCGTACAATTTACTGCAAGACCACAGCAATCTTAGAAAATAAAGAACAATTCTTACAAGACGAAAAAAATGAAGTAAAATAAAATAACACTCGGCCTCCCCATACATCAAAAATACGATTGTTTCAACTGTTTAAAGACTGTCACAGAACATTAACAACTACTTCAAGGATAAACGAAACAAATAGATGTATTCCTTTTTCGCACCACAGCAATTTTCTAATATTTATGATTTAAGCCCAATAACTTTCGTTTGTACCATCAAAATATTTTCATTCTTTATCTGGTGCTATCTTTATTATTATATACATAAATTAGGTTTATTTGGTAAGAAGAATAAAGTCTAGAAACGAAGCTGAAAAAAAAATCAGAGAAAAAAAACAAAAAAATTT